AAAGGTACATAGTTGTACCTGAAGGGTTCATAATGGTACCTCAAAGGTTCTTCTTCTGTATATTTGGGTACTAATATGCACCTTTTAGGTACTGCTGTGGATTCTTTGGGTACAAATATGTATCTTTTGAAAAGGTACTGCCCCAGTGACAGCTCCTGTATCTTTATTTCTGAGAGTGCATATAACTGTATATTACCATATGTTTGTCACAATCACCAGCAATCTAATCCTTACAGATCGCTGGTAACTTACAGATCACATAAAACTACAAATCTGCTGGTATATGAACTACAAGTCTCGTCATGCAACCTACACACACCTGCTCCAAGTCTCTATGGATTAGACCAGTGGTTCTCAAACTGTGGTACGTGTACCACTAGTGGTACGCAGGCTTCCTTCTAGTGGTACGTGGAGGAATGAAATATGTCATGTACATGCTACACATATTTCAAAATTTATTAAAAATGATGTATATAATATGCCATATGGCATATAGCCTATATTTCTGAGGTAATCTGCCATGTTTTTTTAACTGTGCAGGGTTGTAGCTGCTTTACTGGGCCTACTACACTACTGTATTTCAATATTGTTCATTTTGGTGGTACTTGGAGAGACTATTTTTTTCTGAGGTGGTACTTGATGAAAAAAGTTTGAGACCCACTGGATTAGACTAAATAATATTACTAGACTGATTACTGGACTATTTAAACAAGACGAACACACAGAAGTTCCTGAGTCTTGTTAAACAGTTTTGTGAATATTATGATGCGGTTTCCCTGCCTTGCCTTGTTTCCGACCCTCGCTTTGTTGTTTGTTTATGTTGCCTGCTGCCTACCTGATCTGACCATCTGCCTGTTTATCGACCATGACTTTGGATTGCTAGTATACATCTGTTTGCTCCTGTGTTCACTGTTGCTTGCCAGACCATTCACAATAAACCTGCGTTTGTATCCTCACTCCCTGTTGTCAGCGTCCACTTCACATTACAATATTAAAACACTCAATTTATTGATTTATCTTTAAGTATCTAATGTAATAAAGGGTTGCTAACAGCATTTTTTTTTTACTTTGAAAATGACTGGACAGTATTAATTATGAATAACTGTCCAATCGGTTTCAAATTTAACAAAAAAATTGGCAGATAACAATAGCAATCAGAAGATCTGTATCATTCATCAATGATTCAATCAGAATCATTCATCTGTATACAGATATGTTTATAAATAAATAAATGATTTTTATTTATTTATTTATTTATTTATTTTATTTTTGATTATTTCAGCCACTCGGTCCACTCCAGGTTTGACTGCTGCCTTCCAAATATAAAGAGTTATGGATATCATCCAACATATTAATATCGGTGCATCTCCGTATAAATCATTAGTAGCATACTATAGATTTATAGTCAAAACTAGATTAGTGTTAGTAGCCTGTAATTATACATAATAATTTACTACAGTACGTAATAAATGTAGTATATGTAACAAGGACACTTTAAAATGTTTATAAAAGTGTTACTATATATTAAAACGCTCAATTTTTTAAATTTATCTTTAAGTATCTAATGTGACAAAGGGTTGCTAACAGCATTTGTGTTGACTTTGAAAATGATTGGACAGTTATTATTTATAAATAACTGTCTAATCAGTTTCAAAGTTAACAAACTGCTCTTTGCAACACTTTAGATACTTGTATAAAAGCATTTGTCCAACTTTAACAGCAAACCAAGGACTCGCCTTGATAAGGTTTTATGAACACCATTTTATACAGATGCCTTGAACTTCTTTTTCTATCTGGGTCTGAGTTTTGAGAATATTGAAAAACTCCTCTGGGGTGCTGAACGTGTGCAGCAACAGAGGAAGCGTACAGAACATGAAGGAAGGGAAGAAAGAAAACAAACTAACAGACGGGAAGAAGGAAAAGTATTGAGGGCCATACAGTAGGGATGAGTGTGTAATAAAGGAGAAACACAGGGATGAGGGAGGGGGCGCTTGAGTCAGACATTGATACTGCATTGCATGCTTGTTACAGGAAACAGAGGTATCAGAGAACATGAGGAAAGAGAGAGAGAGAGAGAGAGAGATAGAGAGAGAGAGAGAGAGAGAGAGAGAGAGAGAGAGAGAGAGAGAGAGAGAGAGAGAGAGAGAGAGAGAGAGAGAGAGAAGGCTAACTCTAGTGGAGCAGACAAGGAGACAGGAGGAGAAATGGTCAACACTTATTTAACCCTTCACTCAGATCTCTTATATACAGTTAAAGTCAGAATTTTTAACCCCTCTTTCAATTTTTTTTCCGTTTTAAATATTTCCCAAATGATGTTTAACAGAGCAAGGAAATTTTCACAGTATGTCTGATAATATTTTTTCTTCTGGAGAAAGTCTTGTTTGTTTTATTTCAGCTAGAATAAAAGCACTTTTTAATTAAAAGCTATATATTTTTATGATTAGTAATAATTCTGACTTCAACTGTTTACAAACTTTGTGCAAACAAAAATAGAAACTGTAGATTTTATAACTCACTGCAAGAAAAAAAGGAGTGTTTTCCAGAAAAATAGCTTATAAAATGATTATCAAAATCAAAACTGCACAAGACACATCAATATCACATCACATTCACTATCGTCAAAAGTTTGGAAAGTGTCCAATATAAAAAAAAATTGTTTTTAACTAGAAAAGCAATAACTGTTTTATATTTTAATATAGTCAAAATGAAATATTTTTGTGCCTATTAATTGACTGATTGATTAGTTGGTTGATTGATTGGTCGATTGATTGGTTAGTTTATTGATTGATTGATTAGTTGATTGGCTTGAAACCATCATAGACTGCATTGAAATGCTTGTGTTTATTTTTAAGTTGCTGAACAGACTTTTTTTTTGTTTAGGAAGAATGCATTACAGCCTTCAGTGAAACATCAATATATCGTGAGGGAAAATATCATTTGTTCATTCATTCATTTTCTTTTTGGCTTAGTCCCTTTGTTAATTTGGGGTTGCCACAGTGGAATGAACCACCAACTTATCCAGCATATGTTTTACGCAGCGGATGCCCTTCCAGCTGTAACCCATCACTGGGAAACATCCACACTCATTCATACACATACACTACGACCAATTTAGCCAACCCAATTCAACTATGCTACATGTTTTTGAACTTGTGGGGAAAACCAGAGCACCCAGAAGAAGGAAAATATCACAACAAAATATTCTTGAAAAGGGTTAAACACTGCTAAACAAATAACATGTATCATTAACATATATATTTTTAAAGAATCATGTAAGCAATGGCTGTGAGTAAATTCAAGTCTGCTAACACTGGCAGGAATTAATCATTTAATTTTTTTAATAAAGGGCAGTTATTTTAATTGGTTGTAAGATTTCACAGTTTTACTGTATTTTCTTATGTAATTAACTTTAATGTTGATGAGAAAACATTCTGAGAAACATTATAAATTGTAATTACTGCAAACTCTTGACTGGTAGTGTAAAATGCTGTGTTCACACCAGGCACAGATGAAGCGTCAATCGCTAATTATTACCATTTTAAGTCAATGCAAAGAAGCGAACAGACATCTTGCAGCGCGAATCATCAGACGCAGCACGCAAGATTGAATCATGCTATTCTTGTAATGCTATGTTCACACCAGACTCAGCATGCGCAAATAAATCACGCTACTTGTGAGTAAATAGACGCGTGAACATTTTGAGTTTACTCGCTTTATTGATGCATCAAATTCAATTCACACGGATTTGCGTCATGGGCAGGGGTTCTGTCTGCCTCGTGACTCTAGCTTCATTGCTAAATGGCTCACATGGATTTTATTGAGAGAGTAGCTGTGTTCATGTGCTTTAGGAAGGCTGAAAAACAACGTATATTTGTTCAGCGCTGTGCCTGGGTCCACTAGATACCCTTAGAGGTGCACCCAGCTCTGTGAGTTCATCAACTCCTCCAGAAACTATACCTGGATGATGGAAACTTTCAGCAGTGCTTCCGACTGAGCTGAACCCAGTTTGATGAACTGTTGTTTTGAGTTGGCAAGAGGATTTCCCCTTGGGACACCAACAACATACTCGACGTCATAATCAACAAGAGCAAGCTCCTGATTGATTAACATGGCGCAAATGTCTACTGAAGTTCAAATTTTCCATGCGATTCGCACGTTAAGAACGTCAATGCGCAAAACACTTAATTTGTGCCACTTCATTCACGCCGTCTCATTTTGCACGTCTATTTTTTATCTTTGCATTGACTTAATATGTTAATGTTTGACACTCCATCTGCGTCTTGTGTAAATGCAGCATAAGAATAGCATCAATATGGCTTTAGTGCATGAATATATTGTAAATTATATTTTTCATATCCTAATTGTATATATAATGTCATTTGACACCTTATAAATATCTTTAACATTCTCTAATTTAAATCTTGTTCCCTAAAATAAATTTGTTTAATTCAATTCATTGCTATATTTCATTTCAGTTTGTCTTGTTTTTAAGTTGAGATATTTTTACTGGAAAACTTTTTTCTTTTCTTTTTTCGCAGTGTGAAAAATTATAAACTATTCTTAAGTTCAACTTTTTAAGTTCATAAAATGTTTCATATATAACAAAAAGACATACGAGTCTGTAGTAACTTTACTGTAAAGCCTGATCTTGCCTATTGCTTTTATAAACTCGTTTTGCTAAAAGACAAGAATGTTTAACAAACTGTGACATTCATCCTACACTGTTTCAATAACCACACTTTTGCATTTCAATACAGAATTTAGGCTTTGCAGAATCAGAAATGTACATTTTATTCTATAAATAACAATCTACCTGCCTGATACAACATCTTAAATTCTTAAAATGCATGTGGATTTGTCAAAGCTGAAAAGAGTAAACAAAAACGCTGGGAATATTCTTACTTGTTCAAGCTCTAATGTGAAAAACTTAAACTATATCATCAAGTTATACAAGTTATAGCCTTAAAAACTAAAGAATCAAACAAATAATTTCTTCATACCCATGATTTCAATTCCAAGATGCTCTGCCAATGCAGAAAGTTGACAATGTAAAATAAAAGAAAGAAAAAACAAGAAAACAGGTTTCAGGTAAAAATGTCGTTTAGATAGAGGCGGTTGACTAGAATGCGATCAATGGTGTTGTTTGGTTGGTTTGCTTTGGAGACACTGAGGTGAGTTACGTTCCAGTAACAGACAGACAATGCAGACACACACTGGCCAACTCCATATTCCCCAAGAAAACCATAACCAAATGAACAAAAAACTAATAAACAAACAACACGCCTTTCTGGCTCATCGCATGTAAGCAAGCGAACAAAAGCATGCAGACACAAAGACAGCCACACTTACTGCCATACTTACTAGACCTCATTTCTGGTTAAACGTTAAGAAAAACAAACAAACAAAACTATTTAAAAGAAAAGCACAACACAAAGTACAGGTGAATGTAGACACAAATGATGTTTCTAAGGATTAATATGCGAAACAGCAAACAGATGGATTTTGTTTAGTCACAATATTATATTTCATGTAGGTTTTTGTTTATTTATAAACACATTGAGCTATGACATGCATGATTTTGAGAGCTCTTCTAGCAAATGGCTAAATGGCATGGCTCTCAGCCAATCAAATTCCAGAACCAGGTTACGTTTGCAACCCTCATTCCCTGAAAAACATGAACGCAGACGTTACCCTAGTAGCAAAGAAATCTGGCCCAGATTTGGCAAAAAGCTGGCACAGCAGGCATTCATCCGGCACTGGCATACAGCATGTGGGCCAAACATGGCCCGGGTTTGGCAGAGGTGGCACCGTTTTTAAGGCGGCACACAAGATTTGGGCCCAGATTTAAAAAATTTGATAAGTGGGCCATGTGAGTTTGGCCAGTCTTGACCCACATTTAAAATACACTAAAATCATTTTTGATATGGAAAAAAAATTCTACCAATCAGGTCACTTTGAGAAAAAGCGTGCCCATAGTGTGCCTAAAGCGCATCACTCCATGAGTTTATCAATTTCATTGCAATCGTGACACACCTACCTATCTGGCCCAGTTCAGGCTCAGTTATGAGTTATTACCTTGGCTGAGACTTGGCCCAGATATGGTCTGTGTTTGGGCATTGTCTGGAAGCCAGATTTGGTCCAGTCATGTACCGTAATTCACTGCGGCATGTGGGCCAAGCAAAACCTGATTGTGTGGGCCAGAGCTGGGCCAGAGAAATTTTGCTATGTAGGGGTTTGTTGAATAACCGACTAGAGGATTCGCTTAGAAAACCAATCACTCTGATTTGTATGAAAATTGGCCAATGGAATGCCTATGAAGTTGACGAGTGCAGCTCTTTACAGGAGGAAGCATGCTAGGCTTATCGATGAATATTCAAACATGCCTAGCTTCTGTAGCAAGAGGACAAAACTTTTCTGTTCCCCTACTTCAGAGAACGAGCAATACATAAGTAACTGAGATTCAGTTCTCCTTCAGTCGATCACAACAAGTTTTGTCAAATGATCGACTAGGGGAAAAATATAGAACGCGACACATAAGCTGAGTCCTTTACACATTTAAGGTGAAGTATGCCAATCACATAGCGTGAGTACACAAGCATCACAAAGGTGAAACCATCCATCGTCCCTGGCCCTATTTCCTATAATAGTTAAAAATTGTTTGGAAGGTCATGCCAAGGTTCCCAGGCCGGACGAGACACATAGTCCCTCCAGCGTGTCCTGGGTCTTCTTCGAGGTCTCCTCCCGGTGGGATATGCCTGGAACACTTCTCTAGGCGTCCTGGAGGCATCCGAAGCAAATGCCCGAGCCACCTCAGCTGACTTCTCTTGATGTGGAGGAGCAGCGGCTCTACTCCGAGCTCCTCACCCTGTCTATAGGAGTGCGCCCTGCCACCCTACGAAGGAAAATCATCAGCCGCTTGTATCCGAGGTCTTGTCCTTTCAGTCATGACCAAAAGCTCATGACCATAGGTGAAAGTAGCTTTGCCTTTTGATGCAGCTCCTTCTTCACCACAAGGGACCGGTACATCGACCGCATTACCGATGCACCGATCCGCCTGTCAATCTCAAGCTCCATCCTTCCCTTACTCATGAACAAAACCCCAAGATACTACCTCCACCTGGGGTAAGGACTTTCCTCCAACCTGGAGATGGCAAACCACCTCTTTTGGTGGAGCACCATGGCCTCGGACTTGGAGGTGCTGATTCTCATCCCAGAGATAAGACAGTATGTTGGGAAAGCATTCCAGTCCCGAAGGACACTGCAGAGGTCACTGCTACCCAGACAAGATTAATTATGAAAGACGCATATGGGCTAGCCCTATCTACTGTAGGTGGAGTACAACAAATAGAATGATGGTTACATGATAGGAAAGACACAGGTCTGCCTATGCATGGGGAACTTATTGTGGCAAATTATACATATGGGATCGTCTCAGAGGGGACCACACATAGCTGGCAAAGTTTCCACAGAATACGGGTTGACCAAGCGGGCATACCAACAAAATGAGCCAGCAACTCACTCCTTCATCGAAACAGGTGGTGGAGCCTTGGAGGAACTCTCTAGGGTTCATCTAGGGAACTAGATGTTGCGAGCATTTTTGACTCTGAGCTTTGCTTCCTTCCAGCTAGCTGCTGTTACCCAGTAACTGGAAAGAAACAGGCTCCACTTAAAAATTTTAGAATCTCGCAAATGTTTTAGGTGTCACCCAGCCCTGCAGCTCTACAGATGTCTGTAAGAGAGATCTAACACCCAGGAGGAGGTGACACACTTAGTGTGTTCTCACCCTGGGGGACACAGCTTGCCTTCTGTATGATACACTAGGGTGATGGCATCCAAAATACAGTAGGCCTCCCTTTGTTTGGGTATGGTACTTCCCTTCTGCTAACCCCCAGAACAGAAATAAATCTGTTCAGATCTTTTACTCTGAGTGCAGAACACAGCATTGAAAGGGCTGGGTCTGCCTCCTGTACGGGTAGAGCTTGAAGGCTCACTACCTGGTTTTGACATAGAGTAGTAGGATCCTTGGGAACAAGGGACAGTTAGCTGGCCCAAATGCAAGACATGACTCGCTGACTGACAATGCTTCCAGGTCCCTGATAGAAGCCATAGAAGCCAGCATGATCAGTAGAGCGGTTTTAGAGACAGAAGATTCTGAATCAAGAGGCTCGAACTCAACGAAGTTTAAAGGACCACAGAAAGATCTTAAGTGAGGATGAGAGAGATGTAGAATGGCTCAGTACCTAGAGTGTCAAAAGGAATGCACAATACTAAAACATCTAGGTCTAGCTAAATGATGGTGTCAACTACCGATAGTGCTAGGTCAACAGTCAAGTTTTCCACATGGTTGCCAGAGACCTGAGCGTAGGTGCCAGATGCTGCACTGTCCCTGAGAGAAAGGTCTTAGGGGAACATGTCAGGAAGGGGCTGTAATGAGGAGGGTGAGTTTAAAACCTGGTTTGGTTGGCAGGTGAGGTGCAACAAGTATAATCTGACCTCCTCCTAAAACGGGGGAGTCACTCCCCTGCGCTGAGCTTGACACAACTAGCAAGCCAAATGGCAAGGTGCAGGTAGACGCTGTTGGTGGGGAGCAGACAGTGCAGAGGTGACTGAAGCTTAGCAGTCCTCTTGAGCCACCGCTAGACGCTCACTGGACTCGACTGCACTTTCATTGTCAAGAACCTCTGGGGTAAAGCTCCCAACAGTGTTACCGAGGTGATGTTCCTAGACCACGAGAATGGCAATCAGCCTCCCCAGGATACAGACGGCTAACTTGGTGGTGATGAGAGTAAAGTCAGTAGCCATTCTGAGGTAATGCAAGACCCCTGGGGAGACAATGCCCACATCCTCTTTTCTCAAAACCTGGAGCAACTGTTATAGGTTACAGTTTTTGAATCTGATTGGTTGATAGCCATGTGTTAAAGTTTTTGTTTATGTATAAACATTTTAAGCTATGACATGCATGATTCCGAAGGCTCATCTAGCAAACTACCACTGTTTGGAAATCAGCGGATTCAGAGGTCAAAGGATAGAGGTTAAGGGTCATGCATCATGCCTCAGGCTCAGAACGCTGTTAAAGATCGAGACTGTTAAATGACAACATCAATATTACTTAACAACCAGACTTTACAGAAATCAGAGCTTCAAAGCTAGTTAAGATTTACCAACAGCATCTGTGCATATGAACACTTCCAGAAGGGGCTCTATGATTTTGAGCTCCATCTTTTTATACAGGGGGAGAGCACTGGCAAATGGTGAAAGCACTTACTGATGCTCCTGAAAGAAACATGATGCATTAAACATCAGGGGATGTACACTTTTGCACAAGATGGCTGGCAATAAAATGTTCTTACTTTAATATTCTGGTGTTTAGATAAAAAAAATTGTTAAACGAGAAGAAAAATCATCCTGTTCAAAAGTTTTTACATCCTTGTGTTTAATGCACTTGTGTTTGTAATTCAGTTACTTTGTGTTGTAGTCTATATGAAAAAAACATTCAGGGAAAAATGTTAAAAGGCAGTAAATAAAAACTAGTAGATTTTTATAATTTATAATTGGCACAAATCAAATGTTTCTGACAGTAAATTTGCATTTTATTTGAATTAAATTTCATCTCTTATAATTAGTGGGATTCCTTATGAATTTCTGCAAAATTACTTTTAAATTCAGTCAAAAGTCTGACCAACCACTGCAAAGTAAATCTACCCTGCCAAGTTTTCATCAGGACAGGGTTACAGTGGTTTTTCAGTAGATTACTTTATATTACTTCATCGTTTAAAGCAGGAATTAAGGCTTCGTTTATGCTTTTATGGGTTTTGGACAGTCAGTCTGAAACTAGTTATTAGGCATTTCATTTATTGGTTTCTCCAGTTTAACTCTTTCACACAACTCATCATACATTCTGATTTAGCATGGTAGCACTTAACATTAACATTATACTTTTTACACTATCTATAACATTAGATCAGTGGTGCCCAATCCTGTTCCTGGAGATCTACCATCCTGCAGACTTCAGCTCCAACCTTGATCAAACACACCTGTCTTTAATTATATAATAAAATAAATAAGTTCTCCTTCAGATCCTACTTTGTTGGTTTAGTTGTTTTTGATCAGGGTTGGAGCTGAACTCTGCAGGAAGGCAGATCTCCAGGAACAGGTTTGAGCACCCCTTAGATAATTCATTTATCACTTATTTTATCAGGGGTCTCAATAGCGGAATGAACCGCCATAAAACATTTTAAAAATATATAAAAATATAAACCCACCAGCCACTTTATTAGGTTTACCTGTCCAACTGCTCATTAACACAAATTTCTAATCAGCCAATCACATGGCAGCAACTCAATGCATTTAGGCATGTAGACATGATCAAGATGATCTGCTGCAGTTCAAACCGAGCATCAGAATGAGGAAGAAAGGTGAACTAAGTGACTTTGAACGTGGCATGGTTGTTGGTGCCAGATAGGCTGATCTGAGTATTTCAGAAACTGCTGATCTACTGGGATTTTCACGCACAACCATCTGTAGGGTTTACAGAAACTAGACAATAGAATATTGGAAAAACGTTGCCTGATCTGATGAGTCTCGATATCTGCTGCAACATTCTGAGAATTGTTGCTGAGCATGTCCATCCTTTTATGACCACAGGGTACCCATTTTCTGATGGCTACTTCCAGCAGGATAATGTGCCAGGTCATAAAGCGTGAATCACTCCAGACTGGTTTCTTTACATGACAAGTTCACTGTACTCAAATGGCCTACACAGTCAGCAGATCTCAATCCAATAGAGCACCTTTGGGATGTGGTGGAATGGGATATTCGCATCATGGATGTGCAGCAGACAAATCTGTAGCAACTGCGTGATGCTATCATGTCAATATGGACCAAAATCTCTGAAGAATATTTCCAGTAAAAGTCCTAAAGGAAAAAGGCGGTCCAACCTGGTGCTAGCAAGATGTACCTATCAAAGTGGCCGGTCAGTGTATTTCAAAAGTATCTCTTAGGCGTAATCAAAAAAAAAAAGCATTTTTTTTTTATTTTTATTTCCCACTGTAAGGGTATTTAATTATATGTTAAATGGTATTTTTAAAATATAGCGGAAGGTGGTGGAATTGCAGGAGTTTTCCGGGGGACAGAACAAAATGGAAGATGGGTCTGAAATCCGGGTAAAAAAAAGTGTGAGACGAGAAGTTGAAAAGAGTGTTGGCAGATATGGTCGGCGCTGTCTTTCGGATGAGACCTTAAACCGAGGTCCTGACTCTCTGGGGTCATTAAAAATCCCATGTCACTTTTTGTAAATAGTAGAGGTATAACTATGGCCAAATTCCCTCTATTGGCCATTACCCATCATGGCATCCTAATCATCCCCATCCACTGAATTGGCTCTATCAATATCTCTCCACTGCATCAATAGCTGGAGTGTGGTGAGTGCACTGGCGCAGTCTTGTGGCTGCTGTCGCATCATTCAAGTGGATGCTACACACTGGTGGTGGTATGGACAGACCCCCTCATGATTGTAAAGCGCTTTGGGTGTACGGCCATACACAATAAATGCATTACATTACAGGTGTATAAGAGTGCTTTCAAACCTGTGAATCGATTAATTTCTTCCGAAACAGGGATTAAAATTGTTACATTGTTGCTCATTGTTCTTGGTGCGGTTCGCTTTCATACAGCAAAGTTTCTAAACAGACCAAAAGAGCTAAAACAAGTCATGTGTGAGTTAACTCTCCTTACATTGTTCAGGGTTTACTTTGTCCCGCTCAACTGTCATGCGTCCTTATTTTATTTTATAGCGATGAGCAATAAGACATTATAAGCGGAAAACTGCGCTTTAATTTTGAATGGTGACGCCCACAGACATCGTCACCAAATATAAATCAGAGGTAAGGCTCTCTCATACAGAGCCCTTGGCTAGACTCCAGTTCGGTCAATGTTCCTAAAGGATAAAAAGCTCTCTTTAACTAGTTTAGCATGCTTTCACTTTCGTATTTACCATAAAAAGCATATTTACCGGCTGGAGTGACCTCCCGCCCTACTTATAATTCTCTCTTCATATAGCCGGTTATATGCCTATTACATATCCATATTACACTGTAATATAACTGGGCTCGGATTGTTTTGCTTTCTCACTACAATCGATCCACCCCAGAGTTAGCTTCAATCGAGCTGAGACCACCTCATTCAGGCGATCTTGGACCAATTGATTTGGCGCGGATCCAAGCGCGATTGCTGGATTCACATATGCCAACGAACCATGTTAACTGGCAAACGAGACAGGTTCTGAAACACAAGTCTAGGTGTGAAAGCACTCTAAATCTCATAAAATTGACACTTATGACTAGTTTTGTGGTCCAATGTCACATATATTAAAAAATCCCAAACTTTTGAACAGTAGTTTATAATAGGTCAAATAAGCCAAAATATTCATTGGCAAAATGTAAACGATTAATTCAGTTTTTGAGTCACAGATGCTGTCAATAAACTTAACATGAATTAAAAAACCATTACATTAATATAAATGTGTGCCTGTAAAACCATCATAACTCTGTCTGATGAGCTAATTACTTCAGCTCTTGTTTAAGCAAACTTTGCCCTAATCTAAACGCTAACAAGCACATTAGAAATGATTCCTAATATTATTTTATTTTCTTCTTCCTATTTCTTTTTCTTTCAAAATTCTTTGATGTATTAATAATACATCAGTGCATATTAAATATGTTCAACCAATAAAAAACTCAAAATGGACAACCAGAGGCGCACACACACATGCACACACACACACACAAACAAAGCCAACATGCAGCTTCAGAGCAGACAGACAAACAAACAGACAGGAAGAAGAAATGGACATACTGTAGAAACCGGCCATAACGGAGGTTTGACAGCGTTCGCCGGTATAGTCATTTGGACACCTGATGGAGGGAAACAAACCCGCAGAGGGAGAAGGAAGAAACAAGAGGGAGGGGAGAGAAAGAGAGACGAGAGCAGAGAAACATGCTGTTAGAAACAACAGAGAACAAGCCCTGTGAGCTCTTCCACCTGATGATGTCATCGGTGTGATGTCACCGCAGGAGTCTGAACCTGGGGAAAAGAGGGCTCGGTCATTCGTGACAATGTTTTAGTGAACTGATTCAGTCAGATGCTTCGGTTCAGCCACTTTGCTGACTCCAGGGAATAAATTCAAGTGACTCAACTGAATTAACTATTGTTTGGTACAGTGAAATCATGAACAATTGAATAAATGGTATGAGGTAAAAAAAATAGCTGGTTCTGAGCTAAATAAAATTTTCGAAAAATACTCTGCATATATTGCATATTAAGCTGTCAGGTTGAAATTGGTCGTTGTTTAAAAAAAGAAAAAATAGAATAGATATCTAGATAAAAGAATGAATATCGAGCTGTAGGCTAGTTGTTTTTTTATTCCTCTACTGCACGCATTATGATAGATCTATAAAAAAATATTTGACTGTTTTTCTTTTCGTATAGTGGCTTAACTTGAAGTGCTGTAAAAAAATATATATATTTTTTAAGCTACTTTATGAAATATTGCCGTATGCCAACAGCATCCAACAGTGGATCTAACTTAAAACTTTCAAATTTAAAACTTTCCTAATAATTAATAATTTTGTTGTTTGTTTTGATTTAATAGGTGTTGCAGTATTATAAGCTGTCACACACAACTTATAAATGACACCTTATACATACTTCCCCACAACTCATATTCCAACAGCTTTCATTTATTCCATTCTATTTTGCTGAATATTATTAAAACAATCATAATGTTGTAATATCATGTATAGAACATACAGTAAATATAAATATTTTCTTCAGTAATATTATAACAAATAAGCAACAAGTCTAGTATATCCAGATGCATCAGATTAATAGCCACTAGCTAAAAATGCTTATATATTATACTATATACCAGGGATCACCAAACTTGTTCCTGGAGGTCCGGTGTCCTGCAGATTTTAGCTCCAACCCAAACCAAACACACCCGAACAAGCTAATCAAGGGCTGTTTCTCAATTCCAAGAACGCAGAGACCGGACTTGTGTTCTTGTGGAGAGCGGTCTTGCCAGGTGTCCTCAGAAGAACGAACTCAGGAGACCACGAGGGCAGAGAACACGCCCTGTGAGAATTTAGATGCTGCGTTCTTCCTGATGGTCACATGGTTACATTTTAAATGGTAAATTATTTAAACATTACAGCATCCATACAACGATTAATTGTTTTTCCCCTTTTCAAAATATATACTTTGCATAAAAACATTATAAATATATGTTGCACAATATAAATAAAACAGATTTTAATACGAATTTCAGCAAACAAACACCCTTAATGTGTTTATTCCTAATTAAGATGTCCGTGGTAATGTTTACTTAATGTTCACCGTTTCATTTAGGGAAACTCCTGAGGTAAATAAATTATATCTCTGAACTTTAATAATAAATCTAAATAAAATGCTGCGCTTCCCACCTCCAGTCGCAATGACTTCTGGGACTTCCAGAGCGAGTTCGGTGCTCAAGTCTGCATCAGTGCGTCCTCTATATCAAGAACACATCCGGGAAGTTTCACGCATCCTCCGTACTTGTGGTCCTGAGTATTGGAACTGAACTTAGGCAGCTGATGATGAGGTTTCACGAGATCATGAGGACGCAAGACCGCTGAAAAACGCATATTGAGAAACAGCCAAGGTCTTACTAGGTATACTTGAAACACACGAGCTGCGTCCGAAACCGCATACTTCCATATTATATAGTACGCTAAAATCAGTATGTGAGAAGTACCCAGATGACTTACTACTTCCGGCAGGATTCTGAAGTGCGCATCCAGCTAAGACCAGGCTGGAAATGGCTGGAAACCAGCCTGGAAAGGGCCAAAACCTCTCTAAAACCAGGCTGGTCAACCAGCTAAAACCAGCCAACCAGCCTAGGCTGGTTTAAGTTGGATTTTTCAGCAGGGATGATGCCCCTCAAGAGAATTCATGAATGGGAGAGAAGTGCCAGAACTGGCGCAGGTAGGTCTTGTGACCATGACAAAATGGCTGATGTAGTACGTCTGAATTCCATTCATGCTTTTCCCATTCATACTGTATAGAACATATTTTTCTAATGGCCGAGAAGTACGTTTAAATTCAAATGCAGTACCTACTGAGTAGTAGGCGCTTTCGGACGCAGCCACAGGCAGGTGTGTTGAGGCAAGTTGGAGCTAAACCCTGCAGGCCACCAGACCTCCAGAAACGAGATTGGTGATCTCTGCTATATATTATCCTACACCTGTTCATATGCCAAGTAAGACTGCATTATTTTAGCCCTGATTTTGACTCACTGACAGGTTTTGAGAAATCGCCGACAAATGCTTGAAATCACAGGCAAATCGGTGCTCATTCACGTGAGTGACAATCACACAGTATGAACTATCAAGGAGGCAATATTAGAGAATCGCCGATGAGTCGCTGACGACTGTGAGATATTTGGCATGCTACAGTAAATATCTGGAGCTGTCAGCGATTCAAATCATGCCGTGTGAAATGTTTTCTGATTGAAAATAACATTGGTGATCGCCTACAGCCAATTAGAAAGCAGCATTCACTATTACGGGTACCTGCAGGCCAGCGGGAGGCTGGTAGTGAAGTTAAAAGTGCTCATTTTCAGTTTATTTCATCTAAAATTTTTACAAGTAGCAGGATATTTACAGCTACTGTAAAGTATACTTCTGTCCGTTCACATCCCGTCCGTTTGCACCCCCTGGCGGCAGTTACACCTAAAACTGCTGTTACACCTAAAATTTTTTCTTAATCCCTTTTGCCTGTTTTACACAGCAAGTGCGAGCAGAGCATGAGCAGCTTGTGCAACTTCCTCCCATACTGTTTCCTTAACCTGCAAGTGTTTATTTTACAAATGAAAAAAATCCTAAAGAACTGTATGCTTCTCAAGCTCTATGAGGAGTGTCATTTATGTCTTTTAAGGTGCACTCGGTCAGAAGACAATCGCCTGTGATATCATTTCCTTTTGTTTTTGATTGTCAGGATGATGTAGGCCTATAGTTATGATAATATTTATACAACATACTTATAATGATATTCATACATGATCAAACTAGTGTGCAACTTAAGCAAAACTAATACTAAAATTGTTTTAAATTTGGTTTTGTTTGGGCCAAAAAGAAATATTTGTTGCCATTATAAAATATAAAATATTATATAAGCATCAGTGGATCTTATCAACGCATTTATTGGGTAAAATTACTACTTTTTACTGTCATTTAATGTGTTTTTGGTCATTATCAATGCACTGTCACTTTAATCAAGCGTGAGCAGCGCTGCAAAAGTAGACCCAGCGCCAAAACTATGCCGCCGTGCTGCTGCTGTAGAGACACTCACGCTCCATGCTGAAGAGTTGTTTCTGCATGCAGTATGAAAGGTCTAATCTGTTAACATGGACGCCGAAAAAACATGCACTGCTCATGTTCTGCTCGCGCTTGCAGTGTGAAACAGGCTTTAGTTCTGTGGTGGTGCCACACATTGCAGTAATGGTCATTTTGAAGTGTCACCCACTGTAGGATGGTCAGGTTTTGCTATTGGAGGTGAGAGCTTATTATCCTATCCTATGCACGCCCCTTTTTCAGTGGTGCGGTGCCTTAGAAATGGAATATATTGCCCTCCGAAGGTCACTTTAGAGTAAAAACATCTATGGCCACCGTATTGTGGTGACGTTTCAAAATGAAATGCTCATATCTGCAATCTTCTAAGAGTCTTTAGGGATGAAAGATTTCCCAGGGTGCTATCGATGGGCACTTCAGGCACTCATGTACTGCATAGGGAAATTGTTTGGTGTCACAGTGGCACTTAGAGGCTAGGAGTTAGCCTCTATACATATAAATGTATGTATAGTATTTTTCCATATGCTTTACTGTAGTATAAATTTATTTTATTTAAAGTTATAAATAAAATAAACATAAATAAATACATAGATATACACAGTTGAAGCCCTGCTGAATTATTAGCCACCCTCTATAATTCTTCCTTGACAACTTTGTGATCTAATGTAAAAAAATAAAAAGATTGTAGGCTGTAGGTGTCCAAATACTCTTTGGGGCCACTGTAGATAAAACTTAATCAAAGCTAATCTGTAGCTTTAAACCTTCACCTCCTTATAAATTGCCAATCAGTTCCACTTCTGTGGCCTCACGTTAATGAGGAGAACGTCCTAGGACAAGCAGGAGCAAAATAAAGTCCCTAAAAGCTTTGTAATGATGCCAGTAGCTTCGTCTAGTCACAAGTTTTCATTATTTATATACTGAGGGTATTTTCGAGTTCGGCTCTACTGGGGAATTCACTGTTCAGGCTGTCTGTTGGATTTACTGCAGAGGTCAAGGGGACAGGCTGCATTTCATCTGCCTCAGGAGCTACGCTAACAAACACACACGTTGGTTTTGGTGGTTTATGAGGACTCCTCATGGGTGTATTGCATTTCATGCTGAATAATCCATTTATTAAATTTTCGTACTCTAAACCTAGCTATAAACCCAGCTCTCACAGAAAACGTAGCCCATTTTTTTTTAATTTCAAAAGGACTGTTAAATTAAATTTTTGAGCATTCTAGACTGCAAGTACACAAGGCATGTCCTGCAAATCACATCAACATTGCAATATAGATCATAGCTATTTCATTATACAGATTTACTGATATTGCTTAACTTGGTCCTCATAATGTGCTGAAATCAAGGTACACACATAAACTAATAAAAAAAAAATTGATGCTATTGATAATTGCAGTCTAATATTGTATTACCTACTCCTTAATAAAACTCTAAATATTTAAATAAATTCACAATAATTATTTACATTTTATGTATTTATTATATATTTATTTAAATATTATATATTTATTTAATAATAATGTGTGGGT